AATTTGTGACTTACAAATTTTTTGATATGTGACCTCGAAATAATTTGGGATCAAAAAATTGACGATATGTGACCAGTAAATAAATCTGTAACTTAAAATTATGCATATGTGATCATTAATCACAAAATGTGACTTTATTATCTTTATTTAATAAATATTTTTAATTAATTAAATAAATACCTGATTTTTGAATTTTTAAACTATTTACCTTATTTTTGAATTGAGGTAAAAAATACACCTTAAATATAATTTTTTTCCCGATTTCAAACCCCCTTCAATTTTCGATATCAAATACCTATTATTGACTCATAAACAATTAGCCCTTGTTTGATAAAACTTTTTTGAAAAGTGATTGCTCGGGAGAACTTATGATTAAAAATTAGAAAAAAGAAAGAAAAAAAATTATATAAACTCACCTTTCAAAAAAATTATATCAAACAACAGCTTAATTTATAGCAAAACATTGAAATAAAAAGGTTAAGAGTTTGACATTGAAACTATACCTTGAGTAGGTGAAGTATTTTCTCACGCTTCTATTTGTATTTCCTAAAAAGTTACTAGTAAAGTTTTTTTTTTAATCTATAAAGGTTAAAACATTTAACTCTTATAATATGTTCACAATAATTATCCGTTTATCATCTACACATTTCAGATTTTCTTATCGTTTTAGACGAACAATGGCATTAATTGGACGCAAAATTATAGTTAGATTTTAATTGATATAAGGTTCTAAAAATTGAATACCAATTGATTGTGTTACCACTCTCAATTCTAGCTAAATAGTAAAAAATTAGTAATGTTCAAACATATTTCTTGTAACCCGCTAAATCAACTTTAATGATTTATATGGATTTAACATGTGACATTATTAATGAAAACAAGTCAAAACAAGATGTTCTTCTCTAATGTTCCGATGACTCATAAGGACGGAGAATTCTCCTAATTCTCTCCATTGCAAGAGTTGGTGTATTTCGAAGAAAGAAATAAAAAGTGCAATTATCAGAGCTAAGAAAGTAGAGAATGAGTCTAGGAAAGAATATGTTCAACAAAAAAGCCAATTTAGGAATACGATAAGTAACCACGAGAATTTTGTACGATAGAGTGATTTTCTTTCATCATATCCTAGTACTCGGAGTTAAAACTATTAACCAAACTTATTACCATGTGATTTTTTCCTCTTAATTAATGATTTTACCTTTTCAGTTAAACTCCATTATCATGTTAAACATAAAATATAAAAGTCAAACTAGAAATTTTTCACAATGAGGCGTACAATTTTTCTTAAACCTTAATAAGAATCAAATTAAACATCGTTAATGTTAAACACAAAATATAAAAGAAACTATAAATTTTACACAACGAGGTGTATAATTTTTTCTTAAACCTTACTAAAAATCGAATTAAACATTGTTAAAATTTCATCAATTTTCAATTGCAAACTTTAATTTCATTTATATATTTCATCAAATTCATAACATGCGTCAAATCAAATTAAAACAGACCAATCTTTAGAGAAAGTCCAAAAAATACTACAATCGTTTTGTCACCGTATTTGGCGGTGTTCTCGTAAATTTTCGCTGCCACACCCTATTTATGATCCGAAAATTACTTAAAACAGTCGCCTTGTCTCCATATCGTTGACTGACTGCTCACGAAAAAAAATAAAAATAAAATCCGTATATGTACAACTTCACAAGAATAAAATACAACTATTAAAAGAACTGTTCTGCCACTGGCAGCTCAAAGATAGTGTAGGGTTGAGGGTTCAATTATCACATTCGCCTTTTTCTCTCGGGAAGATGAGTCTATCATCAGTTCTAAAAACAAGTCAAAACAAGATGTTCTCCTCCAATGTTCCGATGACTCATAAGGACGGAGAATTCTCCTAATTCTCTCCATTGCAAGAGTTGGTATATTTCGAAGAAAGAAATAAAAAGTGCAATTATCAGAGCTAAGAAAGTAGAGAATGCGTCTAGGAAAGAATATGTTCAACAAAAAAGCCAATTTAGGAATACGACAAGTGACCACGAGAATTTTGTACGATAGAGTGATTTTCTTTCATCATATCCTAGTACTCGGAGTTAAAACTATTAACCAAACTTATTACCATGTGCTTTTTTCCTCTTAATTAATGATTTTACCTTTTTAGTTAATTCAAATGATCGACTCCATTATCACGTTAAACATAAAATATAAGCCAAACTAGAAATTTTTCACAACGAGGTGTATAATTTTTTTCTTAAACCTTAATAAGAATCAAATTAAATATCGTTAATGTTAAACACAAAATATAAAAGAAACTATAAATTTTACACAACGAGGCGTATAATTTTTTCTTAAACCTTACTAAAAATCGAATTAAACATTGTTAAAATTTCATCAATTTTCAATTGCAAACTTTAATTTCATTTATACATTCCTTCAAATTCATAATATGCATCAAATTAAAACAGACCAATCATTAGAGAAAGTCCAAAAAAATACTACAATTGTTTTGTCACCCTATTTGGCGGGAATTAAGCTAAATGAACATAATGCTTGACATAGAGGTTGACCAACCATTCACATTGCATGTGGGTCCCGACCTAAATTAAATAATGTCGACCTACCCATGTGTGTATTGTGTCATCCACTATGTCAAGCATTATGTTTGTGTAGCAAAACTCGGCGGTGTTCTCGTAAATTTTCGCTGCCACACCCTATTTATGATCCGAAAATTACTTAAAACGGGGCCCTTGTCTCCATATCATTGACTGACTGCTCACGAAAAAAAAAAAATAATAAAAAAATCCGTATATGTACCACTTCACAAGAATAAAATACAACTATTAAAAGAACTGTTCTGCCACTGGCAGCTCAAAGATAGTGTAGGGTTGAGGGTTCAATTATCACATTCGCCTTTTTCTCTCAGGAAGATGAGTCTATCATCAGTTCTACTGAAACGTTTGCAATTCCAGCGGAGAATTATTACCGCAGTAAATGTCTATGGTACGAGATCTTTTACCACGACGGAAGGCCACCGTCCGGCTATTGTCCACAAACGGAGTCTCGACATTCTCCACGATCCGTGGTTTAACAAGGTAATTGAGTTTTGCTTAACTTTCAGTTGAATTGGAATTTTGCCGTGATCTTGAGATCTGGATATTTTTACAGCTAAGAACTTTTGTTTTAACAAGAATAGGTGATAGTTGAGCTTCGAAAGTTAATTTTCTATATGTTATGTTTCATAAAATAGGGAACCGCATTTTCCATGACGGAACGTGATCGTCTGGACCTTCGTGGGTTACTGCCACCAAATGTTATGAGTTCTGAACAACAAATTGAACGGTTCAGTAAGTTTTCAAGCACCACACTTTATGATTCTGTCGTGTTAACTCGAAAATGACATAGAATTGTAGTCTAGCTGTTGAGATTAGATAATTTTGTGGTTATATTGATTGCAATTTGCCTGTAAATGGTCGTTAATGAATATTAATTAACATTCCAGTGAAGTTTCTGATAATCTTTGTGCAAGTGATATTGGACTTGGGCAGTGTCAATCTTCATCAATGTTTAGTGAATTGTTGGATAACTTATAAGTAGGGCATATGAGATGTTTTTCGCTTTCAATAATCTATTCTAGATGATAAGTTCCTTTTTCCGTTCTATCTGCCTTATTTAATTTTCATCCTTCTCAGCTCGAATGACTTGGTTTGACTTTCATCGTCAACTAGGTGGTCTTTAACAGCATATTTTACACCGATCTATTTACATTTTTAGGCAAAATTTCTAAATAATACTTGATGTGTATTTTATTCCAATTTATGTCTTTTCTCAAATATTGCATAATTGATATAACAACGAACACTCAATTTGTGATGGAAGAAAATACTTCTCAAGAGCTGTATATTTTACTTATTGGAGCTCGAGAAACAAAGATTGCTGAACCACACAGCTAAGTTGCAATCACTTATAGTACCATCATTCTTATTGGGTCTTTCTTTAACAATAGTGGCTGACTTGAAGAGGCTTCAACTAAGTGCTAGAGATGGGCCTTCTGATCCAAATAACCTGGCTAAATGGCGCATTCTCAACCGATTGCATGATAGAAACGAGACAATGTATTATAAGGTCAGTGATTAACTTTCTCTCTTTGTTTTTTTGTGCCTTTTGATTTTCTTTTGTCTCTATCATTCTCTTTAAAACAGCCAGAATATGAAACAACAAAAATCCAACAAAACTGGTTTAGTTCCCAAAAATTTATGAATCCGTTTCACCATTTCAGTCTGCTCATTGCTAAATCTTCTAGAAGATGCAAGGCAATCTCAACATGTCATGTTAGTTTTGATAGACACCTCCTTCTAACATGTTCTCTTGACAACACATAACCCTTATGAGAGATATTCCTCTTTAGGTCTACACTAAACATTTCCCAACAACTTCAGTTGCCATTCTCTTAATTTATGCTCAATTGGTGCCACCTACACTTGAGTATCAAGCTGTTGTGATTTCTAGAAGTTATACTGTTATAAGATGAGTTTATTTCTTTTTGAAGCATGTATGCTAACACCAAATCATATGTAAAACCTAAGTCAGAAATAGTAATACCTTCTGTGTTATGATCTCCAAATCCAAGATTTCCAAGTACTTTTTTATATCCAAGTTACATTTCCTCCGCATGTCTATTCATATCACCCCAACAAAATAGTATTTTGAAAAATGAGTATATGTCAATCTATTGGCTTTCTTCCTAAAAAGAAATGGATGGACTAGTCAACACAGATTGTTTTGCAGAAGGTGTTTGAGTCTTTCACTGTTCACCACCTCTGTGGGTATTAACTGCCCGTGGATGAGATTGCAAAGGTGGTTAAAAGCGCATGGATGAGATTGCGAACCCAAAACAACGTCTAATTACTTTGTTGGAATAGGATTGTTGGAGAACCTTGCATGACTTTTCAGAGTAAATATGATTAACTAATGAATGGATGGCACTGTAGTTGATTATGTACTGAATCATTACTTCTTTTTTTTTTTTTATAAATTTGAAACAGGTTCTAATTGACAATATCGAGGAATATGCCCCAGTAGTCTATACTCCTACAGTTGGTCTTGTTTGCCAGAACTATAGTGGCTTGTTTAGGCGGCCGAGGGGGATGTATTTTAGTGCGGAAGATCGTGGAGAAATGATGTCGATGGTTTATAATTGGCCAGCTGATCAGGTTTGTAGTACTTGTAAAGGTCCTTACTTTTGCGGGTGCTTCTGAGTTCAATTGTTACATTCATCTATTTTTAGTGCTGGCTTATTAGCTATTGAGTTGAGTTGTTACATTCATCTGGCTTATTAGCTATTGGTCATGCTAGAAAGGAAATGTTTTCTTAAATAATTGGATATAGTTAGGAATACAAATAATTTCTTTCCTTCGCTAGTTGATGTTGAAATAGATATGTTGTAATTATTTTTATATATTTAGGAACTACTGAGTTTTTAAACTGTCGGATCGAGTAGAATGACATTTGTTTTAATGCTTATTTGCTCTGTTGTAGGGACACTTCAATTAGGGTAACGTATCTGTATCCATATCCGACACTTATTGGATACTTTATTATGAACATTTTTCTTTTTTATTAGAATATTATATATTTTTAACTCAAAGTGATTAGTAAACGATAAATATGTACTCATATTTAAAAGATTTCAACAAAAAATATTATTAACATGCATAAAACTAAATTTATACTATGCCCCCGTTTGGGCCACCTTTTTATCTCATTAAAATGAAAAATATGACCGTTATCCATCACATCAACATTTAAATTCAAATTTTCTATCTTTTGTGTGGACCCCAATAATGACTATGTTTTTCATTCTCATTCAACAATAAGGTGGTTCAAACAGGCCTATATAAATGAAGAATTTAATCAATATATCACGTTAATATTTTTAATAAAAATCGAGTGCCCGTGTTGGACAAACGTGTCCCTGTCAGTGCTTTATAGATTATTTGTTAAGAATTACGAAAGAAACGTAGAGCTTGATCAGATGTATTTAAATAAATATTTTATAACAGTCTTCCAATGTTTTTAGAATGGAGATCAAAGATGATTGTAGAAGCATTTCTCATTTTATAAATTCTTCTCATCTTGTTTGCATGTTTGTTAACCCCTCTAGAGACATGTTTTTTTTATGCACAACTGATCCTATATTTAAAAAGTCATTGTGATAGTAAGAAACCCCTGAAATAGCATTGACATTTCATCAAAAATAGCCTAGCCATTTTGGATAACTAATCACTCGACTTGCATAACCTCATTAAATAGGAATGGTCTCCCTCTTGCTTTCATTATTTTTTTTTTGTTCTTTGGTTGATGATTATGTTGACATTCCTTTTGATAATAGCATGAAAAAAGATGTGGCTCAGTATCTGGTAGTAACTTTATCAATGTGGTCTTTTTGTTTTCGCTTCTCGTTTCCTTTACTGTTTCTCTTGTTTGGATATTAGCTAAGAATGTCAGAGAAGAGATATATGCATCTATTGGCTTTGGTCGACTCCCAAAAAAGCCTTACAAATATCAAAGTGTAAATAAAAAGACATTGTATGAGTGTGATAACCTGATAAAAATTATGGACTGCACATGTTCAAGTTTTGCTTAGAATATCAAAATAACACCTTAAAGGAGAATTTTGTTTGACCTTTTATTAGGCTAGCGGCCCTTCATTTGACATCTGATTTATTTTTGTGCTTGTGGAATAAGCTTTGATAATTAAAACATGCAGCAAACTTTCAGGAAGAATCTATTTCAAGATTTAAAGAAGAGAGTAAAGTGGTAATATGTGGTCAACCTTCACATAGTCTAATTTTTGTTTTGCTATGGTCTGGTTGACTGACTGTATATTGTTTTAGTTTCTTATCTTCAACTTCTTCATTTTAAAAATTTCCCTCTTCAATTGTTTCTTATTTCATTTACTTTTTTTCATATAGGTTGATATGATTGTTGTAACGGATGGAAGCAGAATACTGGGTCTTGGAGATCTTGGAGTTCAGGGAATTGGAATCGCAATTGGGAAGTTGGATCTTTATGTTGCTGCTGCAGGGATAAACCCTCAGAGAGTACTATCTCTTTCTGTTTATCTCATGTAAATTGCATGCTTGTATCATATACATGTCTGTGGGGGGATATTTAAGATGGAATCCCAACTTGCTGATAGTTTGTCAACATTCTATCAATGGACTCTGGTACTATTCAAAGAGAAAAAGAATCACGACCAGGGATAATAAGACGATGATAGTCTTTCATATATTGTTTGAGAAACAAATCCTTTTGAAATATTTAATCTGACTCCAACTTGTTGTTTCTTTGAACTTTGAAATTTTCAAGAAGCAAATTAATTGAAAGATGGCAGCGGGATTTAGTCCAAAAAATACTTGTCTTGTCTGATCTTCTATAGAAAGGGTTCAAATAATAGGTAATTTGATATTCAGTTTCTCTATTAATTGATTTTCTGATATTCTTTTATGTTTCCAATGCTGCAAATCAGGAAGCAGCTACACAGAAATCAAGACAATTGTCTATTATTATTTTTGTGTACAACATATGGCTCATGGCCTATATGATTTTCAGTGTTATTAACATTCTCTTACTGTATAATTGTAAGACACTGCATTTTTATTGGATGCCCATATTCATTAATTAATTTGATCTTCATCTTACTCTGGATATACTTTGGTCCTGTTTCTCTCTACTTCTGTTATGTAATGTCCTTTCTTTTGCTTTAATAGGTACTCCCTGTCATGATTGACGTTGGAACCAACAATGAGAAGATTCTGAAAGACCCATTGTGTAAGTATCTTGTGTTCAACCAATCAAGTATATCAGAGAATCGCTATTTGTATACCAGTTTCTTGCTCCATATGTTTGGTTGTTTGGAAACTACTGTTTGACGTACAATAACTCAACACCCTGAAAATTCTCGAGTTTTTATACCTGTCAAGGCCTTGCTATTATCTTCCACAAGTTTGAGTTGTCAGATCAATGTAGGACTTGTTCCTGTTTATGTTTGGCCCTAGAATGATGTATAGTGTAGTTATTTTTATTAGCATGATGTTATCCATGAATTTCTCTGTTATATACATACACACAGACATATATATTATTCCAACTTGTTACCATCAGACTTAACCCAAGATTCTATTTATTCGCCTTGAATATCTAGTGATTACTGCACCTTTCCTGATGAAACGGTTCTTTTAGTCATTTTCCCAGGTTACTTGCTTTGGTTGTTGATGGGTCTCGTTTACTGATGTTCCTTTTCAACTATATATCAACCTATTACTATTTGCCTGCAGATTTGGGATTACAAGAGCACCGCCTTGATGGAGAGGAGTATCTTGCAGTAATTGATGAATTCATGGAAGCAGTATTTACTCGCTGGCCAAATGTGATTGTCCAGGTGTCTCTTTCATCTGTCTTTCATGTTGATTATGACTTTCCTATTGTCGTGTCTTGTTGATTATTTTGGAAAATAGAGGTATTTATGTTCTATATTTATGAGAAGATACTAATGCTCATTGCATTGTGTAGTTTGAAGATTTTCAAAGTAAGTGGGCCTTCAAGCTGTTGCAGCGTTATAGGAATGACTATCGAATGTTCAATGATGATGTTCAGGTGAACAACTTTATCAAAGCATATTTTATTAGTTTATTCATAGTGTATCAGGTAAAAAAAAAATCTTTTTTTGTCACCTAAATGATAGTCTTCTGAATGACGAGTGATGAAATTCGTTCTGTCAATGTAATTTAAAGCGATGTACTTCTTTTCTTGTAATGTTAGAGAGGCAGCACTTTAATCTATCACGTTTTCAAGATGCTCTGTCATGTCTGGGCCATAGAAGGGCTATGTACTTGCAAGTAACATGACTCTTATAACTGGAGCTGTTAGGGAGGGGCATGTACAGTTCTTTACATTTTCAAAAGATATTAGAAGGAACATTCACAGAGGAAGCATGGACTAGGACTTATTCACGAGTGCATACAACTTGACATCATCTCTCTCTGTCTCTCTCTCTCTGTAGACTATCATGCCTCTCCCTTACCCACACAGAGATTATCTTCATAATGAACGCATATTTAAATATGGGTGTGCAATGTAAAAGGCAAATAATCCGAGCACTAGACTAATGAAAATGGAATTAAACATGACAATCAAGTTAACAAGAAAATGGACGTAAAACATTTCTAATATCTTACCATATTTATGCGTTTCTAAACGTGAAGCTCTGTGGATGGTTTTATACTAAAAACCCGAATTATATTTGTATTTTCAAGGAAGGAAGTTACACTTGGATTCTCTTTTGTTTCGGTGGATAAAATAAACCAATGATTAGATAAAAAGAAAATCAATCAAAAAATCTCTAGTGCAGCAAAATCACAAAAATACACCACAAATCCTATGCATATTGCTGAACAGATTTGAAAATGATATATAAGGCCTTCATGAGAGAGTGCAAGCTCTTACCTTGCTTGTTTTATGAATTACTCATCTGGAAAGTTCCTAAAGACCATGTGTTGAGCCTTAAATGTGAACTCCAGCGATTGCTATAAATTACCTTTTCTTTTCCTACAAAATTTTAGCACATCAGTTTGATGATTGGATGGGTTTGATTTACAGAAATTGTTGCGAGTTTTAATAAATTGCAAGTTATAACTCATTCCATGTGAAATTGCTAGTTATGATGCATTCAATGTTCACTTTTGATTGGAAATCGTATTATGAACTTGGTTTCATGCAAATATCCTGTCCAGGGGACAGCTGGAGTTGCACTTGCTGGTCTTCTAGGAGCAGTCAGAGCTCAAGGAAGGCCAATGATTGACTTCCCCAAAATGAAGATTGTAGTTGCGGGGGCTGGAAGGTAAGATTTCTCTCTTTTTTCTTGTCTGAGTGATTGGTTGGTGGTAGTTATACACCATTTAGTATTATTATCAAATTTTAACACGCAGTTGATTAGTAGAGTGATCAACTTGAATGTTACATGTTCTTTCTATCATCACAAATTGGAGAAGAATAATTAGGTTTCTGAATCAAATGGGACTGGTTGAAATGAATAATTATGCCTTATAAAGTGAAGAGAAGCAATGTCATCTATATGATGCATCAAGACTGAAGCCATTATGCTAAATAGAGCAACAGAACTGCTTCCTTTAGGAGAATTTTAACAGTTGTAAATGAAAACAAAAAGGAGAAGATGTTAGTTACATAGTGTAAACCAGCTATTTGCACTGCAGGCCTATTAAAGTCAATGTTTTGTGACAGACTATGAAAGCAAAGAAGAAAAAAGGTTTAAAGAATGAAACAAACTCTGCTCCTAAAGTGGTACAATTATGAATTTATAACTTATGTTCTTTGTGGTGGGAGATCAAGCAATGACTGTTAAATCGGATACTAATTAGGATGGCTGGATTAAAATTGGAGGAACTGTAATAATATTCCAAAATTTGTATAGCACAATTCCCTCGTAGTGGTGTTTCTATCAAATTTATAACTTTGCCGGATGACAGATATATAACATCTGGTGGTATATGTTCTTTATCTTTGACTTTGAAGGCTTATTTTGATTTTCTGCAATTTTTATTTCATATTCCTGAAATCTTTGTTAGACGTTAAGCCATCAAGGCTTTCTCCATGAATATGCTCATAATTGTTCTATTCATTTTTAAGTGGAATTGTTCAATTTGTTAAAGTTTTAGTTGGAGGCTTTATGTTATAGTCATTTTGGGAAGCTCAACTTATGTTGCACAAGACTAGTGTTCTCACATGGTAGACATTTGGAATACTTCCTCGTTTTTGTTTATTTATCGAGGCTCTGCTCTTTAATCTTTTACACTGCAGTGCTGGAATAGGGGTTCTAAATGCTGCAAGAAAAACGATGGCTAGGATGTTAGGAGATACTGAAGTTGCTTTTGAAAGCGCAAAGAGGCAATTCTGGGTGGTTGATGCGAATGTGAGTAATTTTATATTAATATTTCTGGTGAGATACTTTGTATATTTTGATTGTGTCTTGTCATGAAATTGACAATGTAATGGGAGATTCTAGCTGGTATCAATCACAGTTTGAGCCAGGATGAAGTGCAATTTAACTGCATCCATCTAAATAATCAAATTGTTCCCTAGGATTTTAATAACTATTAATCGATTGCAAAAACTCACTTATCACTCGTTGAAAATTTTCAAGACACACATCGAGGTAGTGTTGCATTCACACATGTTGGTGTATGAGTTCATTCGTCCCAGATTTACCCCTGAAAAAATCTGTACCTTACTGTTGAGCCAACTAATATAGTGGGCATAAGGGGGAAAACCTGATGTAAAAGGAAAACCAAGTCCATACAATTTTTGAGCAAGATCTGCGAAGGAATACTTTAAACACAAATGTGTAGGCTTCCATAAAATTCTTTTGCATATACTGCTCATCATATTTTTTATTATACATGAAGAACCCTGTTTATTGGATGATCAATAGTGGCCCTAAAAAATAAAGTATTACCCTCCATTTTTAGCTTTTCTCAGGAAGTACTTTTTTCTCCAAAGCATGTTTTGAGAATCCTATTAGGAATCAAATTTTCCTTGACTATAGATTCACCCAGTTTTTCAATTGAATGTCTAACAGATGGATATAATTCTTTTGAAAATGAGTAGTAGCTATATTACCTTTCGTGTTACCTGCAGAATAACTTTTTATGTGATTCAGGGACTGTTGACGGAGGCACGCGAAAACATTGATCCTGATGCTCGTCCATTTGCTAGGAAGGTCAATGAAAGTGAACGGCAAGGACTGAGGGAAGGGTCTAAGCTTGTGGAAGTGGTGAGTAATACTTGTAACCTTATAAAGCCTATGGAAAATTGAATTTCTTAAACTACGTGATGTATGAAAGGGTATTTTATAACACACTGCAGAAGAATATGTGTCACGTTGGGTGTATTCTCCCTATAATTAGGCATAGGATTTCAGTAGTTGTAGTTCCCAATCTAGTTAACTAGAGCTATTATGCCTTCGTTATAGTTTATGCCTGATTATGAATTTATTTGTATCCTGTAAGTTGAAGGAGCTACACTTCATGAAAAAAACCATCGTGAATTTGATATCTTTTGCCATTTTGGCAATTATTTGGTGAACCTTACAGTAATTTAACTGTTTACTGAATTCATGAGAATGGAGGCACAAAAATTAAATGCCTATTCATATGGAACATCTATCCAAATTCCATGTTCTTCAAACCTACGTAACTATGTAGAGAGATAGAAATCAACTTTCATTCCATTCAACCCCTAAGTGTCATGAAAAGCTGATTTACAGGAGCTGTTGTTGGTCCATTTTTCCTGTTCTGAACAGTTAAAACTTTTAATTTCAGTGTGTATGGATAACAATTTTCTTTGACCATTGAAATTGCTTCTTTTTTAGCTCCTCGTTTGAGTGATAAATATTTTACAATTCTAATACACTAGAAGTTCCTTAAAGATCTTTTCTTATCTGTTTCTTTGGGTATAACCTGACATATTATTCATTCTTTATTACTTTTGGTGATTATTGTCATTATAGTATGTGTGATCACCAGTTTGGTTTATATCTAATCAGGTGCAGCAAGTAAAGCCCGATGTGCTTCTTGGTTTGTCAGCTGTTGGAGGCTTGTTCTCTAAAGAGGTAATAATTCATTTCATGTTTTCCTTTGGGTTGTAACAGTTTTCCCCTCGAGCCCATTCCATCTCTTAAATGAAATCATAGAATGGCATATTTTTTTCATTCTAAGTGATTTCTTTACTTCACAGAGTCGTTGGTTGTCAGGACCAGTAGTAGCATAGGAGTTCTAATTTTCAGTTGAACTGCTTTCCTATTTTCAGGTGTTAGAAGCTCTAAAAGGTTCAACTTCTACCAGACCAGCAATTTTTCCGATGTCAAACCCTACAAAAAATGGTAATTTGCATGTACTTTTTAAATATTCTAATTATCATTTTGTTTTATACTTTTTTGAAAAATTTCTGTAATTTGTTTTTAGCTGAGTGCACCCCTGAGGAAGCATTTTCCATAGTTGGTGATAACATCATATTTGGAAGTGGAAGCCCATTTGCCAATGTTGATCTAGGTATGTATCGCAATTGTGTTTAATCCATTTCTTGCCATCATTTTCCTTGTGCAATTTTCTTGTCAGTCACGTACAGCACATACACTCACATGCATGCATGGCTTATGCGTTGTTGAATCATTTGGAACAAGCAACTAATAAGGGGCTGCACAGAAAGAAGCAGATGGACTCTAGTAGTGATGCTTATATATGTTCTGTATAGATATCCAGGATGTTGGGCTTCTGCCCTTTGTTAGCATTTAGTGTCATGCAGAGTGTTTAGTTAAATGGCTTCTAAGAAGATCCCTACTTGTATGGCTAAGCCTCTCTATTCTCAACATGTTTGCTGAAATGGCTTCCGTAAAGTTTGCTACTCGTATGGTTAATGTTCCCGAGGCATGATATGTAGGCTGGAAGTTGTTTTGAACGTAAGATGTCTCTATGGTAGCCATGTTTTGCACATTATCTTGTTTTGTGAATATGAGAATATGATTTATATAGTGCAAATCGTATATCAATGAAAAAATTATGAGAAAGTATCGTTGTTAGATTATTCACATGTATCTACATGCCAAATTATATGTTTTAGTGAGTACCTGTCCACAAGATACACGTGCATGCAGGTTTCTACGTGCATCCATATCAAAATGGGCGTCCATTTCAATTGAAGTATGGTTGAGTTGAAGTTACTTACAACTAAAATGCATTCTTAATATGCTCATATGTCAATGTTTATGTCCTTTGCTTCACAAATTTTCTCCTTGAAAATTATAAGAGAATACTAAACGATGTGGAAATATTATATTTTTCTCCGGGAAATATCATTCATGAAAACCACCTGGAATGCCTAGCATGTTGTATGCAGACAAACAGCTATTCTGAGGGATTGACTCAATAATTTTGCAGTCTATTCTCTGCTAATTTGTGGTATACCTTAACTGCAATGAATATGTCGCAGGAGATGGTCACATTGGCCACTGCAACCAGGCAAACAACATGTTCCTTTTTCCTGGGTTAGACACTTGTAATCTATACTGTAGAACCTGTCTAGTTAGTCTTTCTCTTTTCTTTCTTGATTTTTTTCTGAATGTTGCTTGTAAATCATGTAGGATTGGGCTAGGAACGCTTCTATCTGGATCTAGGATCGTCTCAGACGGAATGTTACAGGCAGCAGCTGAATGGTACTTCATGGATTTTGACTTCTAAATTGAATTTAATTAAGAGCTTGTTTGGGAGGGATTTTAATCCAATTAAAATTGAAAATATAGCCGTTATTGGGTCACACTCGTCTAATAGAAGTCAACAATAACTGCTAGTTTTTCAATTTTAATCCGATTTTAATCTCTACCAAACAAGCTCTAAAATAGACTTTGAACACTTAATCTAGTCATTTGTGTCATAGTCATTATATCGGACCCAATTGTTGACTTGGCCAAAACACCAGGTGACTGGTTCAACTTACAAGTCATTGGTTCAACTAATGAGTCATTAGACAGTAAACCTGGGTAAATATATTTTTAACAGAAAAATAACACGAGAGAGCATTCATTCACTCGACTCAAAGTAGGGTTATATTGAAGTAGTTCTGTAACTTGAAAGAGCTCCTGTAGCCATTATTTTCAACTATGGTACTCACTAACGATAATTTGATAATTACAGCCTAGCTGCATATATGACTGAGGAGGAGGTGCTTAAAGGGATTATATACCCTTCAATATCAAGGTATTGGTCTTGGGGGAACAACTACATTTTTAACTTGAGATAATTTTATCTTATTCTTTCAACTGTCAATTCTTATCTTAATAATAAAAATGTAATCAGAATACGTGACATAACAAAGGAGGTAGCTGCATCTGTCATTCGGGAAGCTATAGAAGAAGATCTGGCAGAAGGGTACCGCGAGATGGATGGTCGAGAGTTACGGAAACTTAATGAGGTATGTTTTATTGGCGCAAAATGGTATATGAAATTTCAAAATCTGTCTAATTCATTGGTTACATGTAAACTACCTGATTGTACATATTGAGATTCTCAGCATCTAATTTTATGTAGTTCAAAGTTCAAAATCTAATTTTATGTAGTTCAAAATGGTATATGAAATTTCGAAATCTGTCTAATTCATTGGTTACATGTAAAGTACCAGTTTGTACATGTTGAGATTCTCAGCATCTAATTTTATGTAGTTCAAAGTTTACGGCAGACTTTATCATTGGAGTAATTATCATTATTTGCAGGAGGAAATCAAGAATTATGTGATGAACAATATGTGGATTCCTGAGTACCCAAAATTGGTTTACAAGGAGGACTGAAGAACTCTTTTCCTCTCGTGAGTCTTCTTTCATCTCATTGTTTTATCGCAGATTTGGTAGCTCAAATATTGCCGCCATCATCAATATAAAGGAAACGACCAGGGTATGGTTCTACCACTCACCTGAACGTTGTTTTAGCATATACTTGTCCAATAGTGATCTGTTGATAATCAAATCTTCAATAAAGGTTTCCAATTTCAAATTCATTGCCTGCTTTGTAAAAGTACATCTCACTTGATTTCCGTTTTCATTGTTTGCATATGCAATGGTGAAGGTTTGATTATAGTGAAGTTAGTATCTCGATGGGATTTTAATATATGTGTAGAGAAATACATAAATTGGTGCGTATTGTGTTGACTCCAATTTTAACAATCATTTTTTCTAGAATTAGTAATGGGATTAACCAACGCTTTTATATAATTAATAATTAATTAATGACTGCCCAAATCATACTTGCACTAATATTGCTTGGCGGTGTTTTTAACTGTAAAATAATTGTCATATTTTTTTAAAAAAAATTAAAATACATTTTAATTTATTGAAAAATGTGACAAGTATCCACTCTAACATGCACTAACATATTACTTAGCCCACATTTGATAACCATTATTTGAACTATTTTTTCTACACACTCATTATTAACTAAACATTCACACAGTAAAATATTTTGCACGTAAATTCAAAGTTTTTTTTTTTCCTACGTTTTAACCATACAATCTCTTGGAAATCACTATTCAGAATTTTTTTTTTTCGAATAATGGTTGTCAAATGGAGGCTTAGTAAAATGAGGTCCCATAATGTTTGTCCAATCTTATTGAATTTGTGTCCCGACCTACCCAAATAAGTCTTTGTTTATCATAAAAATTTCCTGCAAGAAAGGACATTTAGCAAAAATCCTGATACAGAACCCGTCGAAATTGCTTTTAACCTATTCTATCCTCAACTTTTGAGTTGAAATTATGAATTTAGCCCATCATTCATTCTCCCCCAAATTAATCCGAGGGTAATTATATTAACACAACACTTTTTTATATCTGCACAACATTTTAATTATAAGGAAGGTTTTCAATATTTGTTCATTTGTCTTTTATGTTCTCGAATTTTTTCTCATCATATTGTTATTCTTATCATTCAATTAAGTAACATATTGTATCTTTAATCACGATTTTTATCCAAATATTTTATTAACATGCGGTGAAAAGAGAGGCAAATATTTTGTTTAACTTTCGTATAAGTTATTTATTTCGTTTATTTAAAAATACGAGAGATAAATATATCTTTTTTGTCATCACAACAAACATTTTGATGAAAAATTGTCTCTATAGACAAGATGTGAAAATTAATGGAGGGTTGTCGATAAAAAATTCTAAAAGAAGTTGAGAACTTAAATGTAAAAAAAAAAAAGTTCAGAGATATTTATTGCAATTAAAATGTGGTGTGAACAGAAATTGTGAGAATATTTTTACCCTTAATCCAAATCCCTTTTAACACAGCATATTTGGAGGGTAAATATGAAATGAGTAAAGAAACCTAAAAAATAAATTGTGAGAAAGTGTCACGCGTTTTCTGTAACGTGTTTTATATCGCAAGTGTACAGTGTCAAGTTCTGTAATATAGTAATGAAATTAAAGTGTCGAATCCACAGAAATTTTAATTTAATTCTTACTAAATACTATTATTATTTCAACTTTTACTTTATCTAGAAAATCGAATCTAAAGTCAATATTTCTATAATAAATTAACATGGATGTGTGATAATTCAAGTAAAATAAGGCAAATTATTGTAGAGTTGTCAATGTGAGAAGGCATAAGGATTGATTTCACCACACTATCGACAATGTTTTTCTATAGTTACTTCTATTATTATTTTTGAATTTATAGACCAGAACCTTGGATTAATTCCATTCCCTCTCGAGTGCGGAATAGAACCTATTTTTATATCTTAATTTCAATATCTATATTCCGAATTAAAGCTATAGAAATTATCATGGACATGGTTCTTAAATTGGATAAGCTTTAAAAAATTTATATTTTCTCTCGAAATCTATAAAATTTAGGTTATGTTATTCTTAAATTACGCCTAAATCTCCATTTCTCGAGTACTGAAATTTAAGACATCAAATTATTCAATTATTGATCAGGTAATTGAAAGCATTGCGCAAGAATTAACACAAATAAATTAACGGAAAAATCAACCGAAATAACAATATTAGAATCCAAACATATCTCAAGTTAAGTTACATCAAACTCTAGATAATAAAGTTAGTTCATAAATACAAGAAACGACATTAAAATCTAAAATAAAGAACAGTGAGAATAAAAGAATAAGAAAAACTATTTTGCCACTTGAATTCTCCTCCGAATTGTCTCAATGATTCTTTTTCTTCTTTGCCTTCTAAGCCGTCTTTCTTTTTTCAAACTATGTCTTCAAGTTTGTATTGATAGTCTCTTAAAGTATCAAGACGAATTGGAGTTAGACCGGGCCGAAAAATTTATAAAAAAAATGTTTCTTTCCTTCTCGGGTGGCAGCGTCGCTGCATCCCCGATCCAGCAGTTCTGCTGATTTTTTTTGGCTGGGCGCTGCAGTGCCCAGGACCTGATAATGCAGCGCCCAGCTTTCTGCTGAGTTGGGGACCTTCTAGGCGCCCACATGTGGCGCTTCTTACTTCCGTCATTTATTTGCTTCTGTTTTCGTCTTTTTTTCACTTCATTTTCTTCTTCTTTTATCTCCTCTTCAAGCCCACTTCTATGATCAACTCCATCCCAAGCTCCATAATACGCTATTTTCTCCTAATTACCTAAACTACAAAACAACATGAACAAACACATTAAAACTCTCAAAAATGCTCAAGAACATGCCAAAAACTATGTTTTAGAGGTATTAGTTCAATGAGTGAATTACACTCATCAAAAAGTGAATTAGAAAATTGTATTTTCCTGACATTTTTTAACCATTTCACTGTATGCGGGGCACATAATTTGTATTGAAAATAAGTTTTTCTGGATTTTAATTGGTTTCAAACAGGTGCTAAATAATGTCCTCAACAATCTCTTTTTTATTCCCTTTCTGATAAATTTATAATGGCCACACCATGCTATTATTTTGGAGGGTTTTGCTACTTGTACGCTGGATTGACATCTCGGTTTACAGACTCCTTCACAATGAGTAATGCTATTTAACCCCACTATGATTGCAATTTCTGTTTAGGTGACGTTAACATGGTATTAAATAATAAGTGTGATTAAATGACTTATTTAATTGGAAAAATTAGGCTGACCGTCCTAAAAAAAATATCATCTTTGATTAATACCCTTCAAACCAAAATAAAATTATATTACCGTATTAATTACTTGCCAAACCTGTATTTAAAACCCAAATCAAAAGAGGAAGCCCCTGAATCAGAAAACTATGAGAAACCTTCCAAATCCAATATTGAAATCCATTGAATCCAATATCATATCTCAGAGATCCCAAATAGGCAAATCTAAACCTGAAGGCTAAAACCACCGAATCTGGGACTTGAATTCTCTCAACAATCTCACTCTCGTCTCCAAGTCTCTCGCCTCGATGTAGTCCATCGGCAGAAGAAGAAGGTAAAGAAGGTTTCTCATATCTCGACGTCTCATCGCCTTCCACCACCGACAGTCGGCACCTTTCATCTATTTGGTTAGTCGTACTTTTTCTGAGTTTTCTTAGAATTCTGTTTTAATGAGTAGATTAAAGGTTTTAGATCAAATGTCTAGCATAGGTTATAGTCCAAATGTTGTTGTATATACTACGTTGATTGATGGGTGTTGTAAAGATGGTGAAGTTGAAAAGGCAAAGGAATTGTTCTATAAAATGGAAGAGCTGGATTTGGTTGCTAATCAGTATACTGACACAGTTTTGATAAATGAGCTCTTTAAGAAAGGACTTAAAAGGGATGGATTCGAGCTATATGAGAAGATGAAGCTTGATGGGGCTTTGCCCGACTTGTATACTTACAATTGTGTGATGTATGAGTATTGTAAGGATGGTAAGGTAAGCAAAGCTTATGAACTGTTCGATGAAATGCGTAAGAGATAAGTGGCATGTAATGTTGTGACACATTGATTAATGGGTACTGTCATGCTTGGAAGTTAAATAAAGCTTTGAGTTTATTTAATCAGTTGAAGTCATTTGGTTTAACACATTTCAATCTGTGCAAACTACTGATGGCATTGACATTCTGCTTGTTGGAGGCTTTCTTGCATGTATTGTTGGTAGAATAATGTTATGTGTACACCTTGTGATGTACACAATGCATTACACCCCCTCACATGGAGGTGGCCCACAAATATTTTATTGTGTGCAGGCCCCCCTCTATGTGAGGGGGGTGTAATGCATTGTGTACACATAGCACAACCCTTGTTGATAATTGCACAAGAACAAAGTGGGAAAATCATGTATCACGGTTTGATATTTGTGCTGGTTTTTATAGTTCTGCCAAGAACAAAATTACTTTATATAAGGATGGGTTCTTATCTTGCACGAATTTGATTATAGATGGATTTTTGTCAACGAGAAAATCACCATCATATTATTTTTGTCATTTTTTTT